GACCCCAAAAGCATAGGAAACAAAAGCAAAAATTGACAAATGAGATTACTTCAAACTAAAAAGTTCCTGCCCAGCAACCAATCAATCCAATGAAGAGATGACCTATAAAATGGGTGAAAATACTTGCCAATTATTCATCTGACACAGGGTTAACATTCAGAATATATAAGGAACTCAAAAAGCTTCAACAAGTAATCCAAGTTTTAAAAAAATGTGCAAATAATCTGAACAGACACTTCTCAAAAGAAGAAATACATATGGCCAAGAAAATATGCTCCAAAGATTAGCTATGAGAGAGATGCAAATCAAAACTACAATGAGATATTATCTCACCCCAGTTAAAATGCCTATCATGAAGAAGAAAATTGCTGGCAAGGATGTAAACAAAAAGGAACTCATACACTGTTGGTGGTAAGGTAAACTAGTATAATCATTTTAGAAAACAGTATGAAAGTTCCTCAAAAGCCTAAACATAGATCTACCATATGAGCCAGCTATAAATTAGCCTACCAAAGACTACCTGAAGCTCGTGTTTAGTGTAGCACTATTCACAATAGCCAAAGTAAGGAATCAGTCTAGATGCGCATCAACAGATGCATGAATAAAGAAAATGTGGTATATATACATAATGGAGTATTATTGTTATAAAGAGCAACAAAATCCTGACTTTTATAGCAAGTTGAATAGAACTGGAGTAGACTATGTTAAGTCAAATAAGCCAGACATAGAAAGACAAGTAGAACATGTTTTGTCTTACAGGTGGAAACTAAAAAGAGTTGACCTGAAAATAGTGATTATTTGGTTTGGGAAGAGTGATTGGGGGGTAGAAAAAGAGTTGGATTTGATCAGTGCATGTTGTATGCATGAATGGAAACACCACACCAAACCCTACCAATGTGCATAATTACTATACTTTAATAAAACATCAATAAAATTCAGTTATTTACCCAGATATCTTATACTATATGGAAAAAGAAGAAACTGTTGATGCCAGCAAGCACTCAAAAATGTTAAGTGAGAAATATCAGATTATCAAACAAGTCTGGAGACATTCCCAAACATACTTAGGCAATGTGGTAGTCTGTTTCTTTTTGAGAGAGGCCTGGAGATTGAACTCAGGCCTTCAAGCATGCTAAGCACAACCTCTACTACTCTACTAGCCACACCCCGACCCCATAGTATATCTTAATTAAAAAGAAAAAAAATCTTAGATAATTTTCAACTGTGGTAGTAAGATGAAAAAATTCTGGAGCACCCTCATGATCCCACCTTCTGATGTTTGTGACTGTTCAATTCCTCTTTGGAGTGTGGGAGTGGCCTGTGKATTGCTTCTAATCCATAGAATATGGCAAGGGTGATAGAACATACAAGCATGGAATTGCATGATTATGTTCCAAGACTGCAGTGACTGTCTGGCTGGAGTCACTCACTCCCTTGCCATATTATGGTCCAGTATGTTGAAAGACAGAAGTGGCCAGGAACTGAGGGAGGCTTCCAGCTGACAGCAGCAAGTAACGGAAGCCCCCAGTCTTCCCAAAGTAAGGCACAGATGAGATAAGTGCCCCAAGCAGCACCTGATTGCCCTGGGAGCTCTGTCACAAAGGAGTCAGTTAGGCTGTGCCTAGAGTGAGCCACAGAAGCTGTGAAGAAATGAATTGCATCATTCCGTGGAAAGTCGGCTCTGAAGAACTAGTACAATAGTCAGTTATGAGAATTATAATAGTTTGGGTATTGTTTGGGGTATTATTTTGAAACTACTGCATAGAATATGGTAAGGAATATGCATGTGATTAAATAAAGCAAATGAACATTTACATTGAGTTTCATTAGTGACATTGAGAATCAAGATTCCCCTCTAAGAAAGGAGATACAGAGATAGAAGAGATGAGTAAAATTCTGTTATCCTGAATTTGCATTGGAAGAAAGACCATGAATGCAACATATATCATCTTTTAAAAATTTAAATGCATCCTACTTCTAATCATTGTGAAGGCCTAGAAACAACCACTACACCTTTTCCCTAGAGTGTGGTCTATACAGAACATTTCCCATGAAAAGGTGTCATGATCCTTGAAGAAATAATTGATTCCAAGGCTGGAGCAGGAAATGTACAAGTTTAGCCTGAGAATTTTATAAGGCCAAGAAAAATGAGGAAGGGCACATGTCAAAGTATTTCTACCTGGGACAGCTAAAAAGATTCTCTTAAAAAGATGGGGACCTGTCAGACACAGGAGCCAGCTTGAAGAGTATTTTGCTGGCCCACTCTGGGACAATTTGAGCATCAAGACACATAATGACAGTAGCTTTACAAATAACTCCATATAAGAATCCAGGAATTCCTAATGATACCAATTAATTAGTGAGAAGGTAAAACTCTTGTGGTAGATTGAGAAATAATAAACAAAAAATTATGGAGAAAGAAAAATTTGTTTTGTAACCATCATAATAATAATTGATTCAGGCAAGAAATATCAGTGTTAAAATTACTGAGTATAAGTTTGATGAGGAACAGAATATTTATAAAGACTCAGTGTATCTTCCAATATAATACTTATTAAGTACAAAGGACAAATAACTTTATACAACAGAGAAACGAGACAGACAACGCAATAACTAAGAAATCAAAGTTTTCAAAATCCTGATATATTGTACTGAGAAGAACACAACATCACTTCTAGAATTCCTGACAAAATGAATAACTTGACTCAAATTCTTGATTAAAGAAAACATACCAATACCAGACATTCTACAGTCACTGGCCCACACTCTTCATTTTAAGGTCATAAAAGACAATCTAAGGAACTATCCCAGATTAAAGGACACTAAAGAGACAGGATAACTAAATACAAGGTGTGATTCTGGATTGGACCCAGGACTATGGCTTATTCTATTGAGACAACTGATGGCATTTGAATATAGAATTGTGAATTAGCTAATAGTACTGTTAAATATACATCCTGACTTTGATAATCTTACTGTGGTCATCTAAGCAAATGCCCTCATCTATAGAAAACACATATTGATGTACGGGGGTAAAAAATATACATATCTGCAAATTGCACCCRAAGGGTTCAGAAAATAGAAATACAGTAATAAGGCAAATGAGACAAAATGAAAATGATTGGTGAATCTGGATAGAGAGCATGTGCAAATTATTCATTCTTTTCTGTAGTTTGAAATTATATCAAAATGAAAAGTTACCCCCACAAATGACACTGTAATCAACATGAGGAGATTTCTATTGTCCAATGATGGACATTAATAAGAAGATTAGAGGGATAGGAAAAGTAAAGGCAGTGAAATGAATATGATACAACTTTCCTATGTACATATATGAATATAACTCAATGAATCTCCACATCATGTACAACCACAAGACTGGGATCCCAATGAGAATAAGATAGACTCCATGTTTTAATATGTCAAAATACACTCTTCAGTCATGAAATGAGCATCAGTAACAAAACTTACAATGGATAAAACATCAAATATGCTGAAATGATGAATTAAACAACAACAACAACATTATGAGTGACCTTTAGCRGTCACCATTTGCATTTTGAAAACTGGTAGGTTTATCCTGCTTCTTCAGGACACAGATGAGGCTGGCTAAAAAGTTGATGAAACAGGGCAGAGTTTCTCATTATAAATGCATTGCACCTGATAAATTAGGATGGAATGAAAGAGCATCACCATTTTCAACACCTAATGAAAAAAATCGATCTAGGTCTTTGTCTTCAGTTGTTGCCTCCCAAAAAATCAAAACGAAAAACCTTGAACTTTTATCTGCTCAAACCTCTAACTATAGGATGGAAGAAATAAATTAAGTGTTCCTATAGATATAWGATCACCAAATTTTAGGTTGTAGAAAACTCTACCAAACAGAATAGTCATTTTGTTTAATAACTTAAAAAGCAAAAAGAGGGAATGCCCATATAAGGCAGACAAAAAAGAGACCTTTCTTGATATTGAACAATAAAACTTTTGTTTAAAAAGATACATTTCACACAAATGAGAAGTTTTGAATACTGACAAAATATTTGATAAGAAAGTTATGTTAATCATAATAATGGCATTGTAGTTCTATTTAGAATCAGTTACATTTTAGTTACTTTAATATTTGCAAATAAAATAATGTAATGTCTGATATTTGCCTCAAAATAATCCAGAAGAGAAGAAAACAGGTGGGATTAGGAATGAAACATAACTGGTAGACACATATATAAACAGTCTTTAGACTATTCTCTTCACTCCTATATATATTTGAAGTGTTCCATAATTTTTAAAAATTAATYCGAAGTCTTCAACAGAGGAAATTGTGGAARGACGTATAAAAAAATCATTAAATGGTTACTCAGGGGAAAGTGATTACTGATTACTTCCCCCTATTTATTTATCAATACAATATCAATTTAATTTCATTACAATGCTCATGAATATTTACATGCTAAAAAATCAGTTGCAGAATTTTTAAAAGAACACATCTCAAAATGAAACAAAAATATAAAGCTAAGTTTTGAMCTAAACTTACATAGTGGTTTTACATACTGAAGTACAGGATTTCTTGTGAGGCAATTCCTATGACATGTAAATAGTTCCAAGCAATGCTTAGAGTTGATAATTCAGCTGGTAAACTCAATAAAATTATCTAAGTCACTGTTAAAATATGCGAAAGAGGGGCTGGGGTCRTGGCTCAGCAGTAGAGCTTTTTGCCTTGGCATGTGTGAGGCACTGGGTCGGATCCTCAGCACCACATAAATAAAATAAAGATCTATTTTTAAAAAATAAGCAAAAGAGGTACTAAAGAAATTATAAAGAAATAATCAAGACCTGAACAACCAATCTTACTCCCAAGTTAGGCAGCATCCACCATGTGTGTGGACATGGAGACAGAGCCCCCACCCCCCAGGCAAACCATTTCCCTTTCTCTTACGAAATAAAGCACAGGTGACATGACGACGAGTACTCCTGAACATTTAAGCAGATAGTTTTCAACTTACCTCTGCATTTGGTGTCACATGCATGGAAGATTCCAGTGAGCAACTGTTCCTCCCAGTCCCTAGTGGTGCTGTGCATTACATCTTGGCCATCATCAGCTCCTGGTTTCCATCCTATCAGAAGAAAAAGTACAAATACAGGTGCTTATCTGTGCTACAAGTTATTCATTTCTCATTTGGGGTGTTTAATTTTAGCAAAAGAAAGCTTATTTTAATAAACAGAAGCCCATAATACTGATTACTTATCTTGAATGAACCCATCAAAAAAGTGGTCTTGAGGGCTGGGGATGTAGCCCAAGATGCACAACTCCCCAAGTTCCAAGACAGCATCATAAGTAAGTCAATAAAGTGGTCTTCAAAGGTCTCCCTCTATTTTTATCTTTTTATTTATAAATTTTTAAAAGGAGGAATAAGAGATATGGAGAGGGAAATGRAGTTCTTTTGCTTTACAATGAAAGTACCTTATAAAAAGCAACTAGTAGGACATAGATTTATAAGAAAAATAAAGGGAAAGAAGAAACTATACAGATTACGTACAATTTTACATTTTGTTTTTCAGATCTTATTATATAAGAAACTGTTTTAAACAATCTCTTAAGTAGTTTTCTAAATCTCCATTGGCCTGAAAAAAATTAACATCTTCCCTGGCCTACCTCCTTTGCTCCTGAAATAGAACCCACATATTCTTACATAGTTGTTTTACTGTTATGCAAACAAATGTGAAGAGTTCTTTCAGCAAGATATCTAGGGATTATATGAATTTTAAGTCCAATATATCTGTATATTCATGACATTCTAATTTGGCATTCAAGTTGATTTCCAGGTCAGTAGAGAAATACCAAATGATATGATTATAAATGCAATCCAGAATTTCTATTCAGATTTTAATCAGAAGCATGTAAAATAGATTTCACACATAAGACTTTCTTTTAAGGTGGGGGATAGACACAAACATACTTAGAAAAAGATAGATGCATCCATTTAAACTTTAATAATGTATATTGGTTTTAAGTTCAGATATTCTAAAAGCAGAAGTAGTTTTTGTTTCACTGGAAAAACACACACTAAAAAATGATTATTTACCATCATCATTCAGAGATAATTTTCTCACCACTGAATCCTTAGTAAAAAACTGAGAGCTTTGAGCAGAGGCAGAATCATGGTCAAGCATTAAGGTACAATTGTTATTTCCACTACAGTAGTTATTCCAATCCTTGGTAGAGAAGAAATCCCCTGCTAGGATCTGTGGTATCAARGATGTATCACACTGGTTGTTCTGTGATCTCAGCCTTGCAATGTTTTCAGAACTAGTGAGACCAACAGTGTATGTGGCATTCTTGGGAGAGTACAGGTGAGAGATGGATGGGGTTCTTGCAGATGCTATTTCAGGGGATGAAATGAAGGCAGCCACTTTCTCAGAACTTGAAAAAGGAGAGTCCCGCACAGGAATGTGAGCAGCAGTCATCTTCCTCAGCACCTCCTCAAAGTTTTTCTTGGCATTAGTTTGTGGACTATCAAAACTGCTAGACTGGTATTTGATAATTTGTCGAATCGGATTTGAAATTGCGTCTCCTTTTTGAATGGCTCTGATTTTTCTGCAAATGCTTTCTACTGGGTTATGCCGCTTCTCGGTTACCTTCTTTGCAGAAGTCATCCTTGGCTCTCTAGCAATTGGATAGGAGTGCCTAAAGTATGGGCAAAAGTAGACACATTAGTTAAGACAATGCTAACACATAAAAGTTAGCATTGTCTTAACTATTATTCAGCAATAGGCTACTTATTCTCAAGTGGACTTGGGAGGACATCATGACAAAATGGTACACTGTTCTAAATAACTTCCTGTGCATTTAACTTTGAGGCTCAATTGTCCAGAAAACAACAGATAATGTCTATAAAGTACTTACCACATGCAGGCACGGCAGTAAGCTCTTTATACTTATCAACTTGTCCTTAAAACAATGCTGAGGTGAACATTAAAACTATCTCCATTTTTGTGCAAGAAGAGAATAAGGTACACATTCAAAATCACTGAGATAAGTGCCAGAGCCCAGATTTGAACACAGGAAGTACAATTTCAGAAATTGAACTCTTAACTGTATTGCTTTTCACTTATGCTATGTCAAATATGTCAATGATGCTAACAACTCTCATTTGAATGCCAACCATTGGCTCTGTCCTGTTCTCACTTATTTATTGAGAACTTACTGCATTTTACAAGTATTGTGTATAAATATCACAGAAACCCTGTCAAATATATGGACATGCCTTTTGGGGAGAGGAGACTGGGGATTTAACCCAGGGATACTTTGCCACCCGGCCACATCCCTATCCCTTTTAACTTTTTATTTTGAGAAAGAGTCTAAGCCGCTGAGGTTGATCTTGAACTTGCAATCCTCCTGCTTCAGCCTCCCAAGTTGCTGGGATTCCAGGCATGCCCCATCATTCCATGATGGACATGCTCTCTTTCAGATAAGACACAAAGAAGTGAAGTAACTTGCAAATGGTCATATCTCCAAGATGTGAGCTGAAGTATCTCTGCCTCCCGCATAGGTTTGGTTTGGGGCCAGGGATTGGATCCAGGGCCTCAGTCATGCTGAGCATGCTACACCCCCAGTTTTGTTTTTTGGCAGGATATATGGACTTAAATAACAAGCATGAGTTGACTCTTAGAATAATTAGGGAATTTGGAAAGAAATCCAAAAGTTTACCTAATTAGTACAAATAGTTGAATAGTTATGTAGAGTTTGAAAATTATGGTTTAAAAAAAATTTACATTTATGGATCTTTATAAAAATTTAATAGAGAACATATGAGCAGCAAAGAAAAAAAACTGAAACAGTTGTAATTGGAAAGGGTGTTTGGAAAGAAGATACTTAAAGCACTCCCATTCTGGCTTTATCTTATTTTAAAATAATGGCTATGAGCTCCAGCCAATGAAGTTTCTATCAACAGAATTCACCATTTAGGGTAATGACCACCTCCAAAGTCTTATTTTGTGATCTGACTATACTATGTATTCAAGGCTTATCTTTCAATACCAAACCAAAACACATTCTTCCCCTGAAATTCTGAATTCTCACTGGACTTAACACTCTCTGAAGTCTCCCAAAATTTAAAATTGTATCATAAATTCTGTCATGTAATTAAATTTTGTCTTCTATTACTGGATCGTTTCAAATGAATCTGCATGCTGTTTTCTAAAAAAAATATTTCTAAATCTTGAAATCAAGTCATGATGTGATTCTTCATACATTATTAGTGGCACAATTGATAACCTCCAATTATATATAATACATGTAATTATGAGGCTTGAASCCTTTTTCCCTAGCTGCTATGATAGTTAGCTCCCAACTGCTTCCAGCTACCTCCTCTCCTGGAGGACTCCCTCTTATCCCAACAGGAACTGTTCACCTGGGAGGGTGGACGTGAAGCAGTGGTAACGACAGAGGAGAATTCACCTGTGAACCCAGCACAATTCATCTGTGCTACGATGGTGACTTCACAGGAAGGCATTCGACTTCCCCATGTCAAGCAAAGAGCCTTAAAGATTGGCTACTTATTTATCAATGCTCTCAGTGTGTATTGACCATTTCTCCCTTTTAGAGCCAGAGTGTTGAGGTGCAGATTGTCACAATAGACCCTAGACTGAAACCTTGGACTACCGAGCCTTGTCTACTCACACCATAAAACACTGCTGTGGGGTGCTGTCCAAGCCAAGATGAGAGGCCCTGCTTTGCAGGTACTGGTAACTGACCCAGATTAACATCCTCAGCATATAAAACACACAGGTTGATTTTATTTTTCAAGCCATTTTTCCCCCTGTTTTCTAAACTTCCACAACTCACTTATGTGAGCCCTGCTTGGCAGTTGATTTGCCAAATGTTACAATGAGTACACTTAAGACACTGACTCCTGACAAAGCTTCCCAAGATTAACTTGTTTTGCTCTTTCTAATATACAGCAGAATATTTGTGGAAGTTCAATAAGATGGGATGATAAAGATTTCCAGGTTTGTGCCACTGTCACCATATATGGCTTGGAAATATCTCCTGCCTTTTCTGTCCAGACATTTTTAGTTTTAGATCCCAGTAGAAAAGATTAGCTGCAGTCTTCCATAATGCAAATACAAGACTAACTTGCTTTGTACGATAACTGCCTTTGGAAAAAAAAAAAACAAAAAACATTAACTGAGAATTAAAAGCTTGAAAGTAAATTTAACTAGAAGTAGTTGCTCAGAATCTCTCTTTAAAAAGGATTTTTCTCTGAGCCAGGCACAGTGGCACTCACCTATAATCCCAGCTATTCTAGAAGCTGAGATAAAAGGATTGGAATGTTGGAGGCCAGTGAGACCCCATCTCAAAAAATAAATTTCCCCCCTTTATTTATCTGCTTTAGCTGACTTAAATTTGCCATGAAAGGATGGTACACTTGGAAAAGTTCCAATGACAAGAACTGCTTTTCTGAACTTCACCTGCATTCTATACATTTATAATTAAAATATTTTAATAACCTTCCTTTTAGGAAGACAATCAGTATTAAATACCTACTAAGGGCTAAGCCCTGTGTAAACACTGGAGATATAAGCATGAGCAAAACAGAAATCTGCTCTACTAAAACTGTGGAAGATACAGGTATGAAGAGTAAACTACAAAACCTGCCAGATTAAATCTAAGATGCACAATCCAATTTTAATTTTAGAAAAACAATGACAATGTTTAGTATATCCCAAACACTGCATGGGTCATATGTACACTGAAAAATTTTAAATGTATTTAAAAATAAAAAACAAAAATATTTAAAAGATACAATGGGAAAAAAAATTAAAATAAGCTGGGTGTGGGAGCACACGCCTGTAATCCCCRTGACTCAGGAGGCTGAGGCAAGAGGAACAGAAGTTCAAAGCCTGCCTTGGCAACTTAGCAAGGCCCTAAGCAACTCAGCAAGATTCTGTTTCAAAATAAAACATAAAAAGGGCTGGAAATGTGGCTCAGTGGTTAAGTGCCCCTGGGTTCAACTCTTGGTACCAAAAAAAAAATTAATTAAAAATTGATTTGAAATTCAAACGTCACTAGGTATTTTTTGTTACTAGCTAAATATAGCAATTAAAGACTACAGATAAATTACATAGCTATGGTCTATGAGAGCATATAATATGTGATTATTCTTGCTTGGGAAGAACAGGGAAACAATTAAGGACATCTATTGTGTAATATATGGAGCATATTGCTATATATTGTTTGTTAAATCCAGGGTTAGAACAGAGAATTTAAAAGTGGAACTATAAATGTGCTATAGGAATTCATCGTTGGATTCATGTGAGCTAAATGTAATGTAAAATAATGTTTTAAATTAAACCTCTGATTTTACTAATGTTATTTTATTCTTTCTACTGATTGAACTGTTTCATTGTTCTTGCTTGCATAATAGACTTCTATTCTTAATGACTGAATTGTCTGATATATAGTACAAATTCTTGAATCTTCAATTTTCAACTATCAGCCTGATCTAAAATTGTCAAGCAATAAAGTCTGTGATGCCCAGCCACATCTATAAAATAAATCTGATTTGTTTCTTACTTAATGTTAGGCTATTTGTTATAGGATATCCACTTTTCACCAATGAGTAACTGCAGAGTTCAACATTAATCTCTAAGACATTTGTGCTCTTTGAGACTTACAGAAATGAATATTTGTTCCAACTTCATAAAYGAGTTCTCCACAGGCTGAGTAAAATCTACCACGATGTACAATAAAGGCAATATCACACATTAATATTCGAAAAGACATATTTTGTGTTCATCAATATTCATTTTCTTCAATTACTAAGAAACAGTTGAATTTCATTACCAAAAAAAAGTCATAATGTTTAGAAAGTAGAATCATTGAAAAAAGCTGGCAGATGTCACAATGATTCAAAAAGCTCTTCAGAGGGGCTGGGGATGTGGCTAAAGTGATAACATGCTCACCTGGCAAGCGGGGGGCACTGGGTTCGATCCTCAGCACCACATTAAAAAAAATAAAATAAAAAATGTGTGTCCACTGAAAACTGAAAAGTAAATATTAAAAAAAATTCTCTTTTAAAAAAAAAGCTCTTTAGAAAGCCTCTGCATCTAACTCAGAGAAAGATTATGTAGACAATTATTTTTCCTTTATCAACCACCTAATATTTTTCTTCCTTTACAAAGGTTACTTCTTAAACATTGAACTTTCAARCTTTAGATCAGATAGGCTTATTTTAAAAATCATTCAATACTTGATTATGAAATCCAGGCAAATCTTTCATGACTCACCTAAGCGAAATCCACTTAGTGGTTTAATTAAAAACAAAACACATAATGGATGAATGCAAAAATATTGAATATGTGTGTGTAGATCAATGATAAACAAAGGATTCCTTTTGCCACAACAGACCTTCACTAATGATTAAATGCCACTGAACTCTTCAAAAGGACTGGGGTTACGGCTCAGCAGTGGAGTGATCACTTAGCACGTGTGGGGCACTGGGTTCGATCCTCAGAACCACATATAATAAAAATAAAGGTATTATGTCCACTTACAACTAAAGCAAAACAAAACAAAACAAAAAAACATTAAGAAACACCTGTTCACCGAGATGCCCCAGCAAACCCATCTTTAGTGAACCCAGTGGGTAGGC